GACAAAGCTAGTCTAGATTTGTCTAGGTCCTTCTAGACTAGGAAGAAAGTAGTCTAGTCCTTCCCCTACTTTCTTTACAAACACAAAGGCCTACTAACGCCTTATAGGCAATCTTGCGTATATTAAGGTTATAACTTAACCTAATGTAGCACATGCTTACTCTGTCCTTGCAAGGTTTCTTACAAACCTAGGACTAATACACCTCTCTAAGATTAAGCACGTGTGGCAGTACCTGTACAGAACTAGGTACCTAGCTATTAGTGCTTAAGGGGGTAAGCCTACACAGACCTACACTACTAAGATTAATTTAACTACTCTAACCTTCTTTAGTGCTGCTAATGTATTATTTAGAGATAATGTTAAGACTTGTTAATTATCTACTAGATACATATTCATGCTCTATAGCATGCTAATTAACTAGAAAGCTACTGTACTTTAATTAGTTACTTAATCTACTACTAAGGCTAAGCTGTACGCTCTCTCAGCTACTGGCGTTGAATCACAATACTAGGATCGCTTCTGCTGCAATATTGGCTTCACGCTGCATACTAAAAAGGCTCTCTAGTGTGACAATGCACAGACTGTACACCTTGTTCAAGGTAATGCAGATTGCATCCAAACAAAGCTTCGCCATGTTAATATACACCAGATGTGGCTTTGCTAGGAGGTAGACTCTGGAAGAATCGCTGTTAAGTGGAAGCCTACTGCTAAGATGCCTGCTAACGGCTTCACAAAGCTGCTTCCTTAATAGAAACACAAGAACTTTATAGGCCAGCTTAGCTTAAAGGACATTCATTACTTAATAGTTAGGGACTCTCCTTGCCCTGTACCCCTTAGTTAGCTAAACTAGCTGCGCAGTATGCGTAAGCATCTTACTCTCTTAGTATTTTTCCTTATTTTGTAAGGTTTCTATCTAACATAGAATCCTTAGGGGGTGTGTTAGCCTAGCACCTTAGTTTATATAGTACACTATAAACTGCACCTTACGTGACTGTGTTAGTTACCTGCTTACTTATCTGGTTGTGTATATAATTGCTCGCTGTAGCTCCCTCAATACAACAACCTTCTGCCTCATTTGTATCTGCCCTGTGCTCCTACATCCGACAGCTGGCTTGGTGATAATCTACGTTATATATATCTGCAATTTTTTAGTAGCAAAGTTTACTGCGCGTATTAGCTGCGCGTGTGTCTTTAAGTGCGTCTTCTAAAGTCATTGCGTTGTTGAGTTGTAGTGTTGAGGATATTTTGTTGTTTTGGTGATCGCGTGCGGAACGCGGAACCGTGCGGCACGAGCTCCGGCACGGTAACGTACTCCACAAGCGAGCTGGCCACCCAAGCGAGCTGGCCACTTTTGCCAAGACCACACTGAACTTCACTCTCCCTGTAATGCCTCAACGCAACAACGTAAAAAAGCCTTTAAATAAAACACATATACAGCTTGCCCTCTAGGCTATCTAGCAAGACGCGACACTAAGCGTGCAACGCACTGTAGCAATATACTAGGTCTCTTAAAGCACCCTAGGCACGCGCCTTACTAGAACCTCTTCACAACGTGATTGCAAGCCTAACATGATAAGGATGACTAGTACTAAGGAGGAGGTGATTGTCCAGCATGTATTGAAGCTAGACGAGCGAGGATACCCACCCTGGCTTGCTGATGTGGAGGATATGGCCAATTCTCTGCTTGCTGAGCGCCACTAGCCCTACGTTGGCAAGAACTAGGCTGCCAACTTTGTAAAACGTTAGCTAGAGCTTAAAGTTAAATTTAATTATAAGTATAACTATAAGAGAGCTCTATGTAAGGATCCTAAGGTAATTAGGGACTAGTTCTAACTAGTAGAGAATACTAAAGCTAAGTATAGTAACGTAAACCCCCAGCACCCGGGCCAACCCAGCACCTGGGCCATTTCTTGCCAAGACCACAACTATTAATATTAACACGTAATGCCTCACTAACAAGATGCGTAATTATCTAAATAAGAGGGTAGAATTAATCTTACCCTTTCTACTTTCTAATTATATAAATTTAAAAGCCTCTAAAGTGCTGCTTAGGCATTTAACATACTGCGTACAACCTTAAGTGCTAGGTATAGAGGCAGACTCTATATTAACAATAGACGCAACACACAATATAAGCTCACGCGCACTAAAGAGCAAATAATTGTACAATATATTCTTAACCTCAATTCACAAGGATTTGCGCCCTAGCTGTGCGAGGTGGTAGATATGGCCAACAAACTGTTAGGTGTACGCGGTAGGCAGCCTGTTGGCAAGCACTAGGCTGAGCGCTTCGTGACGCGTTCAGCTACGCTCAAGATAGCCTTCAATCAAGCTAAAGATAGGCAGAGGATGCTGCAGGAGGATCTAGAGACAATCAGCGCGTGGTTTAAGCTAGTAGAGGACACAAAAGCTAAATACAGCGTACACAACCACAACATGCACAACTTTAACAAGACTAGCTTCTAGATAGGTGTTATTAGCTTAATAAAGGTTGTTACAGGCACAGAGAGACGTAATTAACCTTAGCTCGTTCAGCTAGGTGATCGCGAGTGGGTAACAGTTATCCAGAGCGTCTGCGCTGCTGGATCTTGTACCCTACCTTTCATCATCTACAAAGGACGCGTTCACATCTCTGCCTGGTACAAGGAGGCAGATATACCACGCAATTGGAAGCTCTCTGTCTCCGAGAGCGGCTGGACGAACAACGCGCTCGGCCTTGAGTGGCTGAAGCACTTTGACGCGCATACAAAGGCGAGCTAGGTGGGGGCGTACAGGCTGCTTATTTTAGACGGCCATGAGAGCCACCTTAACCAGGATTTTAAGGACTACTGCCTTAAAAACATAATCCTTACCCTCTGTATGCCACCTTACTTATCACACATCCTCTAGCTGCTTAATATAGTCTGCTTCTTGCTATTAAAGCGTAAGTACTCTTAGCGCGTACAAGACTTAGCACGTAAGCACGTCTTCTACATTAACAAAGAAGGCTTCCTCCCTACCTTTAAGGATGTGTTTTTTAATGTGTTTATAGCAGAGAACTATTACAAGGCCTTTAAGGCAGCAGGGCTAGTCCCTCTTAACGCGCAGGTTATGTTAGATCGCCTTAAAGTGCGCCTGCGTACCCTGCTAGAACCCCTCCTCCTAGAGACGCTGTGGCAGTTAAAGACTCTAAGCAATACCTACAAGTTTAGATCTTAGTTAAAGCTTATACGCGAGTCTTTTACTCAGTTACCTATTACTGCGCAAGCAGGCTTCTCTTAGCTTGTTAGAGGCGGCGAGCTTATGCTGCATCAGAACGCGCTTCAAGCAGCCCAGATTACTGAGCTTAAAGAGCAATTAGCAGTAATAACTAAGCGGAAATCGCGCAAAAGGAAGCAGATCTAGCAAGGTGGTACTATAGAGTATAGTGAGGCAGCAGCTTAGGTGGCCGCAGAGGCCTCTGTAGCCGCTGAGCGGTCAAAGAAGGCTTGTGGTGGTGGTAATCAAGAATAAGCTTAACTAGCTCTACAGCGCTGTAGAAACTGTAGAGGGACTAGACACAACGCGCGAACGTGCAAAAAAGATATAGAGGCATATTCTAAATTAGATATAAGCACAGCATACGCAGGCTCTATGTTAAATAGTGATGAAATTGAAGAGTTGTAACGTGAGTTGGTACTGCCAAGCTTTTTTGGCCCGGGTGCTGGGTTGGCCCGGGTGCTGGGGGTTTACGTTATACAAGATAAAGACACCTATAACTTTAATAAGTCTAGCTTTATAATAGGTGTTATATTAATAGGAGCTGTTATTACAGGCTCTAAGCGTTAAGGGAGACTAAAGGCAGTATAGCAGGGTGACTAAGAGTAGACTAGTATTATCTAAGGCATCTGCGCAAAGGGCTAGTCTATCCTACCCTTTATTATCTTCTCTAGCAAGCACTACCTCTCTGCCTAGTACAAGGAGCCTAGTATACCTAACAACTAGGTTCTTAATATCTCTAATAATAGCTAGACTAACAACAAGCTTAGAGTTAAGTAGTTAAAGCACTTTAATAAGCACACAAAGGCGCGCACTGTTAGCAGCCATTAGCTGCTTATTCTAGACGGCCACAAGAGCCACAACTTAGTTGAATTCTACCAGTACTGCAAGGAACACAAGATTATTACCCTGTGTATGCCTCCACACTTGTCGCACCTACTGCAGCCACTTGACGTAGGCTGTTTTGCCCTGTTGAAGAAGGCCTATGGCCGCCAAGCCAAGCGGCTGATGCGTAGCAAGATTACTTGCATCACTAAACTTAAGTTCTTGCTGTGCTTAAAAGCAGCTTTTGACGCCTTAATCACAGAGAGCAACATCTAGGGAGGATTCAGAGGTGCTGGCCTAGTCCTACTTAACCTAGAGGCTGTGCTATTAAAGCTTAAAGTACAGCTACGCATGCTAACGCCACCTACTGTGGACAACAGTACGTGGGAGTCTAAAACACTAAGCAACACCCTAGAATTTAGGTCTTGTCACGGAGCCTGTGGGACTATACTCAGGTGATCGAAAGTATTTGATCAGTGGCTATCTATCCTATCACGAAAGTAAGGTTTATATACATAGGAAATATGTGTAGATCACATGATCTGAGATAAGCGAGCGGTTAGCTGATTATCTGGTAGCTTGTTAACGAAGAACGGATGAAACGAGCTTCTAGTTTAGACCTAGAGGTGCTTGTCCTGGTTTATCTAGGCTAGCAAGCTCCACACCCTTAATTGAGGTGCTTAATTGTGTGACACACCCCCTAGGCGTTCGCTCATCAGATGAGCGAGCAGCTAAGTATATAATAAGATGATTAGTAGGGTCTAACTAAAAAGTGGGGTTCTTCTCTAAGGTCTGAGCGTCTAAGCCTTATCTTAGAAAAGCTTTTTCCTCTATTACAACTCTAAGGCCTCTTGTATAGTTGCTTTCCTAAAGTACTTTAGTTGCGTAGCCTAAGCTTGTAGGTTTTTTCACAGACTGCTCTTAAGCTAAGTCTCTGCCTAGGATATTATAACGCAAACAAGCGTTTAGTTAACTGTCCAGGAGCTTGTTTCTGCCATTTAGTGAGAGTGATGGGGAACCATTTGGAGAGTAGGTCCAGGCTAATAAGGTCCTTATATAAAGGAGGGGTTTCGCGCAGCTGGCTTCTCTTTCACCAGCTCGCGAGGTTATATAAACCCACAGGTCCCCTAATGTCAACAACTTCAGCTTCTTCATCCATCATGGCTGTACGTATACTTTGTTTTTGTGTTTTCGAGCGGCTGGTGATCTTTCCTTCGCTCGTTTTGGCTGTAACTGATTTGGAGATAGAGAGAATCAACCACCAAGCGCGCCGCGCGCACCGCCGCCGCCACCGCCGCCCGCCGAGCCCGCCACGAGGCAGCTAGGCGCGCGGACACCTTTCAAGAGCTTCTGCTCGCTCCGCGTGCCCGCGCCCGCCCTCGCTCGGTCTCGCCTTTGGGCAGCAGTGGTTTGGCTTCGGCCAAACGAGCTTCCTCTGTGGGAGTGGAGGGCTCCTTTAAGGGTCCTTTCGACCCTCACGCTCCCCT